CTTGTGGAGAACTGAAGTAAACCCTGAATAAAGTATAGCAATATACTTTCAAAGGAAACCCTCCCTCAATCGTCGGAACCTAATTCCAAAAAATACTCTAGACGCATCACCCTACTCGGCCACCAAATCTCGTGGCAACCAACCGCAAAATATCTCAGGGTCATATTCGACCGCTCTATGACTATTGCAAAACACATTTGCACCGTTAACAATCGTACCAAATTCGTTTATAGTCGCCTCCACCCACAAAGTAACAGTAAGAACAAACTGTCCCTAAGACATAAGCTCCACCTCTACAAAGCTTGCGTAAAAACTATCATGTCCTACGCAAGCGTAGCCTTTGCACACGCGGCTCATAAACGTTTGTACGACCTCCAAGTTGTCCAAAACAGGTTTATTTGCATCGCCACTGGAGCTCGGGTGTACGAGCGAAACTGACTTACACGGTGATTGTCAACTTCCGACGATCTCTGAATATCTGAAGGAAATGTCTCGGCGCTACCTTGGGAGCGCTGAGACACATCCTAACCCGCTAGTGGTAAACGCCGCAACCTACACTCCGACTAAAAACATTAAGCAAAGCCTCCGGAGGCCCCGCAACGTTTCCATCGTATCCCCAGCTCCACTAGATTCCGATGACAAAAATTTCGATGACGTATGGAACACAGCGAGGCCGCGGATGGGCGCGCCGCACACCTCTCCACACCGTGTACATACCGTATGCCCGCATTCCTGGGTGGTTCCCATCGCACAGAACAACGAACGACACGAGTTAGCCATCAGAGCCGGGGCCCGCCACCCCCCGTTCGGATGGCCGTTAGATAACTTTTTACATTCAATTCACTTTTTACAGCTCGCGGCCTTTCATACCTTGGGCCTTAAGTCCTATGAAGCTGTGAGAGTCACATAGACTAACAGCACAAACATCATCTAAACCAAAGAGTCACCTTCTATTCACGGTCTTTTGTCATCCAGTTTTTCATTGTCTCTCTCAAAAAATTCTTATCCACTTGTTGCCAAGTTATTTAATTATTACACCACTTCAATAAACTTGACCACATTTTAGAGTAGTATTGCGTTCAATATGAAACAATTGTTAGTATCCTTAACAACGTTCTTAATTATTTTCCATTCAACAGTCATACTGTAAATTAATAAACATTTTGTCTTCACAAAACGGATCCTTTTGTGAGTAAATTTTAAGGACCTTTCCGTAGAAAACGGTTGATATAAACAGAGTGCAAAAGCGACAGTTGAAAGAAAAAGTAATGAAGTCCCTTAATTTATTCTTAGGGATTTCTGATTAAGAATTCATAATGTAGCCGATCCCAGGATAGTAATTTTTTTTATTAAACGAGATAATTTAATTATTAAAAAATACATAAACCAACTTCTATTAAAATCGCATGTTGTGGTCCTCATATACATTAAGGGGGTTGTGAATGTGGGTTTCCCTAAATAAGAACACTACTAACAAACAAAAAGATCAATTAATTTTACCCTGAAAAATAAGTTTTCATTCAAATATCAGAATTTTATTATATTTTTTCATAAAATAAACCTTTTCCTGGAACAATTCTTATAGATAATTAATTTAAAAAGATAATGCAATTAAAAATGGTGTAAATTGAGACAAATTTGTAAGGATTTAAAAGTCTATTTAGACTAGACTACCGCCGCCCATGAACATCCGTAATACCAGAAAAATTGCAGGTGCGTTGCCGGCCCTTTAGAATGGAGTAAGTTCTTTTCTTGAAGGTCCGTATCCACAGATTACCTCCTAATAGATACCGCATCAACGAATATTTGTTCTGTTTCGACTTCACCAAATTTTGTGCCACGCACGAGTTGCGGGGGACGTGTCAAATGCGCTGTGATTGGATATTTCAAGGTTGCACTTAGAATGGACCGAACCGTAGTGATGGGACAGGGTTGGGACATTGATCGATAAATTTGCGATTTATTTGTTATTGATAAGTAAATAAGTTGATCGATTTTGTTTGAAATTATTAAAAAATAATATGTATATATATAATAACAATCACAATCTAATAGGTTCTTAAATTTACGCGAACACTAAACATTGAATAAAACTATATATACAGATTTTATCGCGTTTAATTAACTTATTTTTAATTCCCGACGTCTAGGGTGCTAAAGGAAAGCTAAAGAATTATTTGCCTCTAACTCCATTGTGAATTTACGGACTTCAGGTGATCTAAAAATGTAGTTGCTTTGTCAGATTCTAAAATTTTGAAAGTGTTGTCTACTTACCGCTTGTAGAATCTTGGATTTACAGGAGCAGTAAGAAGGGCTTTCTCCTCAAAGTCCTCCATGAATATGTTGGTGACTATGGGGGATACGGGTGAGCCCATCTACTTGCTTGTAGAACTCTATCTTCCACAATAGATAGCCAGATGTGAAGCAGTGTTTGAGTAATACTGCATATTCTGCAGGTATGTTGTTATCTTCTCGCTTCCTAGTTACAATTAAGATGCAGTCTTCAATAGGCAGCTATGTAAATAGTGACTTAACATCAAAACTGACCATAGTTTGATTGTCAGTGAGATGTAGGTCTTTTGTTTCCCTAACGAAATGGTATAAATCCTTTGTGTGTGCTCTGGTATGTCCTCTCGGTGGTGACAGTATTTTTGCCAACTGTTTTGCTATCTTATAAGTCAGTGAATCGATCTGTATCATTATGGGACGTAGTGGAGCGTTTGGTTTGTGTATCTTCGGAAACTTAACTTTAAATATATATTTCACTGATTTTTAAAATGGATGAGCTTAATATAAAATTGTCTCACAGAATTTTTAGGATCTGTTTTCCTGGATAAATAAAGTAATCTTATTTCTATGTATTTTTCCATTACACTCTTAGCTAAATCAATGACATGATTACAACTTTCGTGATCAAATTGGTGATTTTTTATTTCAGGAAAGATATCCTCATTAACAAAACTTCTTAATGTTTGTGTTACAAGACGGAATTTGTCTTTGTAACATATTTTAGAACCTTGATATGAATCGATTGAGCTTCGAATGACTTGTTCAGATCGTCTGCAAATTTTGGTGACCATATTGGACGGGAACAGTAGTCCTCCTGCATCTCTTGCGTAAATTAAACTGGTTTTTCTCTCATATAAGGAAAAGCTTTAACGCACTTATTACATTTGATATTTTTTATTAAGTAATGAACAACAGCGCCAGCGAGATATTCTATTATGCTTTCTGAAAACTGAGATAACGGCATATTATGTAAGGAATTAATAAAAGTTTCATCAAGACGCTCCTCAGTCACGCAAGTTTCACCCCTTTCAGTCGTCATATTTATGCGTTTTATAGCTGAAGAACAGTTTAATATGGCTATATGTTCTAATGCTATACAATTACCGGTATTAAAATCTTGCAGTTCCATGTGTACAAGCATTTTTCTGTAAATTCCATGAAACTGTTTTGGTGTTGGATTGTTATTAGCCCCTCCATGTGATCTCATATTGCAGAAAAACAGTTCAATGTGGTCTTGACTAATACGGTGAAACGATATATAAGGACAGAGATGGTTCTTTATCAAATCATTAAATAAAAATTTTGCACTTTCAATACATATACAAAGTCCTAAAAATCCGGTAAGTCTCGGTGTATCAATTAATCGCGTCTGCTTATTTTTGAAATCAGTTGTCAAATTCATCAACACATTTTTGCACATTTCAAGTTTTGATAAAACAACTTCAGAGTTTTCAGCGTTTAATGCCCTTTTCAGTCCATATCCATGCACTTTCGAATCTAAGATATCGAATAAGTCGTTTAAGACTAACAACATATTAGCTGTTCCATCTATTCCTTGAAACTGGGATATCATCAAGGTATTTTTACAAAATTGGAGAGCTATTGATACACTTCTGCTAAACAATTGAGTGGCAAGCTTCACTTTCATAATATTCTTTTTAAAAAACAAGTGTTCAGATCGTAGCTTGTTAGCTGCGTGAAACTTCTCGTCTTCTTGCAACTGGTGTAACATCTCAATATGACTCCATTTTATATCTTTGCCTTCAGCATCCTTAAATTCCCTGTAATGTTCAAAACTATTTCTAACTAATTTTATCATGTGAGCTGGGTCGAAAAATATAGCTATTTCATTATTTTGTACTTTAAAAACAGTTTTCAAATTATTAGGATTTAAATCGCAGCCGAGTTTCTTGGCCATTGCTATATTGGCTGGACAGCCATCAAAGGTCACAGCTTTGACTACTAATCCTGCTTCAAGGCATAACTCAATAGCTTGAGTTAGTAAAATTTTTTTTTGGTCAGCTGTCACTTTATTAATGAAAAAATACCCAATAGGTACTTTCCATTTACCGTATAATGCAACTACTAGAAAAACTAATGCGTCGGTACATTCTTCTCTACAGTCAGAATCTACACTTCCACCGTAATCTACATAGCCGTATGTCTTTTCTACTTTCCTCTCAATTTTCATTTCATCAAAAACAATACAGCAATAAATAGGCTGATTTGTCTGTGTTGCCTTAAATTTAAGAGCATCAAAAGCTTCCTTTGTGAAACCTGGACGACCATCTATGGATCTGTACCATTTTCCTAGTGTCTTTACAGAGGGTAAACAAGTATTAAATGTCTTGCGTACATAATTATAAGCCTTTGTTGAGTAAAAATTTAAGGTAAGTGCAAAAGCTCTCAACTGCGGTGAATATTTTTTTCTAACAATTTTTCCTGATTTTCCTTTCAATATTTGACGACGAATAATTTCACTACATTTAACCCCTAAAGAACTTAATGCGTCATTGTTTTCGGCTGTTAATAAATTTTTGTGCTCTAATTCTGTCAATAATGCCTTCAAAGAAATTATTTGTCTTTTTAGTCTTCTGTTGGAATCGCTTAACTTTTTAATTTTTTTGTCTTTTTTGTTCACTACGTTGGATAATTCGATGATTCTTCTACAAAGATGTTTTTTCACTGGAGTATCAAATGCAGATGGCGTATCAGGAGTAGGATAAAATTTTCTTTTTTTGTTTTGTAGGCGTTTCTAAACAATGGCTCTGATTTTTAGGTGTTAGCGGGTTATTAGCAGCGTCTTTCAGCGGTGTATCACCAATCTAAAAATAAAATACGTATTCGTTTATTTTAGAATATTACCAATAATTATTTAGAAACTTATAATGCATTTTTTATTAATTTATACAAGTTATAAACATATTAATAATTCTTATTATAATCATACCGCTTTTTTAAACGATGTGCCGGCCACAGGAATTTCCGTATTTTTAGCTGCAACATCCGCACCTGCACTTATGGTAGGGACGGGTGCCTAAAAGTAGTATTATTAATTATTAAACCATACGGTACATCTTTCAAATTTAGATGTACTTAATAATAATAGGATATTACTGAAGTTCATGTAACACTAGAATAGCAAGTCAAAACAATAATCACATTATATATAACTTTCACTTATTTTATGATTTATAAATCCGTTAAAAATAGTTTAATTTCGACGTGTATCATTCGCCTAAATATTAGAATATCACGTTATAATCAACCACTTAATGCTATTACTTATTGTGTGATTTACATTGGTACTCAAATAAAATGAAAAAGCATACTAAAACTGGCAAGTATAGAGATGGTATAGCGGAATCCAACAGTCTTCTACGGTTTTTCATACGATGAAGATTGTCTTCCGTGAAGTGTCTTGAGCATATCACACTATTTTTGGTGGGAAACCATTGATCCCCTCGACAAGTTGCGTCGATCCACATCTTTTTCCTTTCGGGGCATTTAGGAAACCTGTAACATATAGGTACCACATACATTATACGTCACTATTTTTATACAATAATGACTACAAAAAAATATGAACGATGACCAAACAAATATCGACTTATAAATCACAACACTATCGTTACACGTGCCATCGTTAGACAAAGACAACTATTTTAATTTACATAATGAGTGAAAGAGACATTTCAAAAAGACATCAACGGGTGCTTAATTGTTATCACTTTGCACCATTATATTACCAGTATAAGTTGAACTCCGGTGCAGTTGAAATAAGTTAACGTAATAAGAATAGAATTTACTTACCGATGAAATGTTATGCCATCTTTTTGATAACTGGATGTCTTAGCTGACTTGCCACACCATTTCACTGCACAGGAAGCCATTTGTAATGTATTTTTGATACAAAACTATTTTTAAATTGTCAAAAACTCGGAGGCGTGTACGGGTCACAAACTTGGTCGACAATGATATCGTAATTCATAGCGTCACTTCATATGCTAGCTACAGCAAGCATGTGTTGCGCGCGTTTGTGGCCCTGTATGCGGAATCTATTAGGAGGTAATCTGTGTCCGTATCGGTCCGGAAAAATCACCGGTGTTAAACTATTCCACAGAGAGGTCGCAAGCGGAAAAAACTCCTAATGAAACGTACAGTGGTGGACCGCCAAGCATCCAGATGGTGTGGATGGTATTGGGAAGTTTGCTGCGTAGTGCGTTCATGAAATTTGGCGGCTAGGATTAATCGGAATAATTCCTCAGAGCACTCCCCGTGGTATATGCGAAAAAAATGCGAAGAGATCAGACAGAGAGAGAACATCTCTTCGCAGCGCCAGTGAATTGAGCCGATCGGTAAGCACTCGGTCGTCGACAATTGAAGCTGCTCTGCGCTGGATGCGGTTAAGTGGAAGGAACTGGAACTAGAGATAGAAACAGTATTCCATGTGCGGCCGAAACTGCACCTTAAAAAGTTGCAGGCAGTGTGCCGGCATGAAATACTGAGCCGCTCTGCTGAGCACGCCAAGCTTTTTAGGGGCCAATTTGGCATCCTCTTCCAAGTGACCACGAAACTGCACATCACTCGATATGTTGACACCGAGGATTCCAATACTGGCTGAGGCAACATGGGGTTCATTTTAGCGATTCACGCGCAAACTTGTGTTTTCTGAGGTGTAAACTGGACTAGATTTAGTCGCCCCCAATCCGAGACTTTGTTCAGCAAAGACATAAGACACAAGTTTGTACCGTATTCGGAGACATTTTCCCGAGAAATATTGGTAAGGGCGCTGTAAAGTGCATGACCAGTGCTGTCATCTGCAAAGGAATGAATGTCGCAGGTTTGCTACATATCATTTATGTGCAGAAGAAACAGTGTTGGTGATAGCATGCAGCCTTGTGGAACACCAGAGTTTATAGGATTGTAATTGGACCTTGCACCATCTAGAACGATCGTGATGCTCCTATCTGTAATATTACGAGTAATACAATTGCACAATTTCTCGGGAAGCCCATACATAGTTTCGGTCGTGCTTGGTACAAAGCGCAATGTCCAAATTAACGGCTATTGCCTCCCCTTTAAACTGTACTGCCTCCGCCGATCTACGAGTCAGGTAGACCAGAGGATTACCAGCTAATTAATCACCATGAAAACCGTATTGGCGATCACTAGTAAGCCGGTGATCCTCAAGGTACCTCATGGGTCGGCAGTTTACAATGGACTTACATTGTTTTGGAGAACAAGGAGGTGATGGTGATATCCGTGTAGTTGGACGGGCCTGAGCGGTCGCCGTTTTTAGGGATCGCATGAACGAAAGCCGTCTTCCATGATTTTAGGACTACGCCTAGGTAGTAGAAGTATTGGAAAACACGCGTTAAGACCGGTGCCACCTCTGGATTAAACGTCCTCAGCATAATTGGGGGGATTCAATCAGGACCTCCGGCATGGAGTACTCACATCGCAGGATGGTAGGTGGCGTACTCCCCCCGTCATCGAGAGTTGATTTGGACGCAAAGAAAGAGCCTATCAGATCAGCTTTCTTCTTTGCGGCATGGACCTGTGAGTACTGCTCCCTGTGCAAAGATGGGAGGGATGGTTGATAGAGATTTCTCTGGAGAACCTTGGTGAGAGACCAGAATGCACGGGTTCTAGAAGAAAGGTGAAGTAGTTTTTCGCCAATTATGCCTATGTGTTTTGACTTTGCCTTTGTAATAACTCTTTTGAAGGACCTAGAAGCGGAGTTATACTTCTTTTTTTGAGCGCTGGTGCTTACATCCCCGTACGTTTATGCGTCAGCTCAGATTTCGTAGCACTCCAACTTATAGCATGATGCTATTTTACAGGAGCGACCAAACGGTGGCTGAAATTTGCCTCCGATCAGAAAGGAAGGAATAAAAAGTTCCATACCTTGAAGTACCACATCAGCGGCAGAATCAGCAACAACCTTTGCGGAATGTGCCAGTGAGTTGTCCTTCTTGTGCAGAGATAGGAGATTGGCTGTCAGAAGTTTTCTTGGAAAGCTTTGGAATGCACGTGTTACCGAAGGAAAACGAACTAGTATCTTGACAATTCTACCGATGTGCTTTGACTTTGCATTGACAATGACATTTTTGAAGGACCTGGAGGCAGAATCATACTTCTTTTTAAGAGCGCTGGTGTTTGCATCCCAAGACGTCGAAACGCGAGCTCATGCCTGGCAGCTCTCTTGCTTATGACGTAATGCAATTTTGAATTAACTACCAACCATGGCTGGGTTCTGCTTTTGAAAGGTACGTGTACGATAGTTATGGAATAAAAAGTTCCATTTCCTGTAGCACCATATCAGTGATAGAGTCAGCAACAACGTTGAGATCATCCGGCGAGAATTTAACCCGCCCCCAAGGGTAGGATGCAAAGAATGACAGCATCGTATCCCAATCAGCTGACCTATAGTGCCAAACAGGCGGCAGCCCGCAGAATGCAACCGAGATTTCAGCGTGAGTGGCACCACGCTCTGGACAAGTCAAAGGTATAAGGAGCCTAAAGGGACGTCGATGGAAATTTGATATCCGTCCGGATGAGAGGTCAGCAGAAGTTCCAACAGATAAGGTGCATGATCTTCCACATCTGGTATCCACGTAGGCAAAGTAACCAATTGTGTCAGATCATATGCCAAGGCAAAATCGTGAACAGATCTCTGCACATGATTGGTTAAACGTGAACCAAGCCATTTAGCATTGTGGGCGTTAAAATCACCGAGGATCTGGAGGAGGAGGCTCTGCGGAGGGGATATGTTGTAGCAACGAATCTGTAGCCGTTAAGAACTGGTCGAAGAGTCGGTCTGTTTCGGCATTACCGCTATGTGACCTATATATAAAAGGATGGACAGGTCCGAACCTTCAAAACCGCCTGGGCGTCGAGAACTGCTGTCCTCTCTGACGTATACGCAAACTCCAGCCCGAGGCGCAATGGAGTGTTCCAGTTTGTACCTCGGGTTGGAGAGATGCATCAATGGAAGAGGATACTTGCGTCTCGGAAAGAGTAAGAGCCGGTCTCGCCGTTTCGAGATGGTAGTGGACGGCGTTCAGGTTAGAGTGAAGTCCCCTGATATTGCAGAAATTCACGGATAGCTTGACAGAAGTCGCCTTGGTCTTTTTGCTCAGCTTACCCCCTACACACAGTTGTTGTCCTGAGCGGAACTCCCCCCCCTACCAGAATACGCAGGGCAGCCCGAGCACCTACGCTCAGGAGTGGTGTAACTTGATAGTGGATGCTCAGCATGGGATTCTCCAGGGGTGCTGATACCCTCCTGGTGTAGGTCTTTACTTAATTCCGCTACTATGTTAAGGGGGAAAAAATTGGGGCTCCGGTCACCTACACTCACCAGACGGAACGCGGAAGCTGAGCCTCCACTTCACGCCAAAAATATTGTAATTCTGATTATAATTACTCCTAAGTAAATGCCCGCGAACCAACTTTGTAAAGGAGTATTTGTTAGGCGCTTTTCTCATATCATCAGTCAAAAAATTCCAATGACATACAGCCTGAACAGGCAAGAAGTTACCTTAAATGGAATGAATATGTATGATTTAGAAGTGAAAAAAAAGAAACAAGTAATATTCTGGAGGGTACAACCTACGATACGATACGACATAGCCCAACGTATTAGTAAGCTGAAGTGGCAACGGGCCGCCCATATAGCTCGAAGAACCGACAACCGAAGGGGAAGAGGATCTCGAGTGGCAGCCTCGTACCGATGGGCGTAGTGCAGGACACAAAATAAAAAAGGGATATACAAAAATATTTTTATTATATGAATGTCATATAAAATGTGTTTGTTTCATAGACAAATTATAATTTTATACATCTTCGGAACAGTTTTATAAACATTAAAACGAATTTTCAGTTAAGGCCTATCATCGCGTGATCACGTGCTTATGATTTAATTGCGTTCGTTGCTTTCACTTCAACTTATTATGGATTTTGAGCATTCAATTAGAATAGACACGCAAACATTGTAAAAATGACAAGTGATGAAGTTTATATTTTCATGTTCTACGAATTTCTACTTTAAAAATGTCTATAAAATCAATTGTTAGAGGTGGTGTTCTCAAATTATGTAACAACGTCTGTTAAGGTGGACATAGTCATTTGGAAAAAATCAATAATAATAATAATAATAATAATTTGAGCGCGAGAATCACTCGTCACCTGGACTCAAATCAGGTGATGTCGCGCGCTCAAAATGGATGTCGGGGCGGCGGTCGTGGAACCAAGGAACCACTCCACATTGACGCGGTCATTGGCAAAGTGGTGAAACGCAACCGTCGGAACTTCTCCGCTGCCTGGATAGACTACAGAAAGGCATTCGACTCGGTGCCCCATACATGGCTAAAGAGAGTCCTCGAACTGTACAAGATAGACTGTACAGTTAGAGACTTCCTCGAGCAGTGTATGGGGCAGTGGAGTACGATCCTTTGTCATCTGGGCGAGCGGATGATGGCTGCGGAGAACCACATAAGGATAAGAAGGGGTATCTTCCAGGGCGATTGTCTGAGTCCAAAATGGTTCTGCCTCTCTCTGAACCCTCTCAGTACCTTACTGGAGGGCTCCGGGAGGGGATTTCAGCTACGGAAAGGAGGGACAAAAGTGACCCACCTTTTCTATATGGATGACCTCAAGTTATTCGCCTCCAGTTGCTCCCATCTTATGGAACTGCTAAACATCACTTGTGAATTTAGCAGTTCCATTGGAATGGAGCTGGGGACGGATAAGTGTGCGGTCCTCCATGTTGAGAGGGGAAGGGGGTGCTAACTCTGCGGGCATAGACTTATCTATGCCCGTCAACTTAAGGACCCTTTCCGAGGCTGAAACATACCGATACCTGGGTATGTCACAGAACATTGGTATCGATGAGGCTGGTATGAAACAGTCAGTTTGCGACGTGTTTTATGCACGCTTGACCAAAGTGCTTAACAGCCTTTTGTCCGGGGTGAATAAGACACAAGCATATAACGGCTGGGTCATGCCTGTCCTCATGTATACCTTTGGCATACTCAGGTGGACTCAGACTGAACTTAACGCCCTGGATAGAAAAGTCCGCACTACCATGACGTCCCACAGGATGCATCATCCGAGATCGTCGGTAATGAGGCTGTACTTGCCGCGAAAGCATGGTGGGCGTGGCTTCTTGAGCGCGCTCACCATGCATAATCGCGAAGTGTGCAGCCTCCGTAATTACTTCCTGGCGAGATCGGATGATCCATTCTATAAGGACGTCATTTCTTGTGATAAAGGACTTACCCCTCTATCCTTAGCCAACGAGCAATGGCAAGACCCGGCAGTGCAGACAATTTCCGACCGGGAGACCGTATGGAAGGAGAAGGAGCTCCACGGGAGGTTCTACAAGTCTCTACATGGGCCTTTCGTAGACACAGTAACCTCTCTCCACTGGCTACGCTTTGGTGACCTCTTCGGGGGAAACCGAGGGTTTTGTCCGTGCAATACAGGATCAGGTTATTAAGACCAACAACTATCGGAGATACATCCTAAAGGATGGCACCATCGACATCTGTCGAGCTTGTCGCCATCCCGGTGAGTCACTTAGGCATGTCATCTCCGGTTGTTCGGCGCTTTCTAACTCTGAGTACTTGCACAGGCACAACCTAGTAGCCAGAATTCTACACCAGGAGCTCGCTCTGAAATACGGTTTCGTGGATCGGAAGTTGCCGTATTACAAGTACTTGCCGGAAGCCGTGCTCGAAAATGATCGCGCCAGGCTCTATTGGGACCGGGCCATCATCACAGACAGGACTATTCTTGCGAATAAGCCTGATATTGTGCTGATGGACCGGGCACAGTCAAGGATATTTTTTTTTCGACATTACCATTCCGTGTGACGAGAACCTCGTGAAAGCCGAAACAGATAAGCAAACAAAATATCTGGACCTGGCTCACGAGGTGACCGACATGTGGGGTGGTCTGCCGACCGAAATTATTCCTGTAGTCGTCTCTGCAAACGGGCTAATCCCAGTCAGCCTCTCGGGTCATCTGAGGCGGCTGGGACTACGTGGCGGACCGCTCCAGGCTCAAATGCAGAAGGCGGTGCTCCTCGATACCGCCCGCATCGTCCGCCGGTTTCTTTTCCTTTCCCCCTAACCCTCGGCCGTTTGGTCTCCCCTGCCGAGGGCTTCCATCTGGTTGGGCTTTTATTTATTTATGTATTTTCGTATTTATTTTATTTTATTGATATTTTTGTATATTTGTCTTTTCATTTTCGTTTATAATTATATATTTATATATCCCAACCAGATGAGAAAACTATATAGATACCCCAAACATAATAATAATATATTTTTTAATTCAGACCATAGTCCATATAAAAATGTGTTAGTAAACAATTAACTTATATAACTATGTTAATACAAAATGTGTTAGTGACTATTACTTATGCTATGTTAGTCCTTAATCTACCTTAACCTATTCAGCACCAGCGTGGGCGCTGAGGCCTAGTGCCGGTGTGCACATCATTCCAGCTCCTCCAGAGAGGGCTGTCTAGCTAAGAGGCCAACGCGCTGAGGAGGGTGTTAGTGCTTCTCACAAGCCTGCTCATCATGGACGCGGCACGCTTTCGCACAATCGCGTAGAAGTCATCCACACGACTGTCCGCAAACATTGCCGACGCACTGCAGTTTCGCGGCTTCCTCAACACCGCCCTCAGCACATTGTTGTATTGCACTCTCAGGGCGCCGTAGGTCCGCTGCGAATAGCCCGTCCACAGACTGCACGTGTAGAACGATTGGCAGTAAGCTTTAAACAACGTTATCTTAACCTGCTTTGTACACCGTGCAAATCTGCGGGCCAACATGTTGCCTCTCACCGCCAGCGCCCGGCGCTCGCGTTCAATGTCGCTGTCATCCTCCAGGCTGTCGGTTACTATATGACCAAGGTACCTGAACTCAGTAACCTGTTCAAGGGGACACCCACATAGTTGAAAGGTGGGTTTCAATATGGGTAGCTTATTTTTCCCCTTGAACACAAGAAACTCACTTTTGTTGGAGTTGTAACTGAGTCCATGTACCTTAGCATACCCTTCACAAATTTGTATTAATTTTGTGAATTGATTGTGAAGTGATTGAGGGGCTCAACAGAACCATGTCGTCAGCGTAACTAATGTTGTTTATACTGACCCCATCTACCGAACAACCGACACCAGCTCTACTGAGGCTCACAATCAGTTGATTTACATAAAATTGAACAGCCTAGGTGACGTCAGCCATCCCTGCCGTACTCCACACCCCAGGCTATAATCTTCGCTCAACGCATCATCCCATCTCACAACATTTTTCTGGTTACCATACCAAATACTCGAACAAAGCGATTAGCTCAGGCTTTAAACTGGTTTCGTTCCTAAGCTTTTTGCCACAAGATTTTGTATAGCACTCGATCAAACGCTTTAGACAGATCCAAAAAGCAAGCATATACCGGTGTTTTTCTATCAGTGTAATACCGCACAGTCTGCTTGAGGCACAGTATTGCGCTCTCTGTTGAAAGTTCCGGTCTAAAACCAAACTGCGCATCGTGTACTTGGAAAGATTTACGTAACTGCGCGTCAAGCAGACTGTCGAGGACTTTAGCTGTTATTGTTGCCAAGGATATCGGCCTATAATTGGATCTGTCCGCCGCATCGCCCGTCCTGTTTTTAATAATAGGCACTACCACTGTTCTCATCATAGCCTCTGGAAGGTAACTGTGGCTTACACAAAGATTGTACAGTAGCTTGAGGACTCTGGCAATGTGCACACCCGCATATCTCAAATGTTCAACGCTGAGGCCATCGTGTCCCGGCGACTTACCACGTTTCATGTTTCTAATTGCATCATTCACTTCCTTGAAAGTGAAACGCAAGGGGCTAATCCCCGAGTTCACGATGTCCTCACCGTCGTCCAAACTACAAACTATCTTGCTAGGATCCACTTTAAACTGAGTCTTGAACATATTGGCAATGTTTTCACTTCCAGTTATGCCACCCACTTCTGCTGGAAGAGGCACCCGAGCATTCAGGCCTTTCGTTTGCTGCCAGAACTCTCCGAATTTCTTCGCCTCACATGACATTGCTAATATATCCATCTTGATTTGTTCCGCATTGTCTTGGCACCACTTAAGCTTGCTCTTAAAAACCCTGCGCGAGTCTCGCATATCCTCATACAGAGCTCCACATGTCAGCCGCCCTGCCCAAACCCAGGTTTGAAAGCAGAGATGAGCCTTTATATGCGCCGGTCTCACATGTCTATTCCACCCTGTGATGTAGCCTTTCTTATTTCGTTTTAAACATTTATGGCTGTAACTCGCAGCATCCAGCAATATAGATGTAATATCGTCATACAATTTCTCTATGACTAAGTTGTGTTCCGGTTTGTCACACATCTTATCAGAACAATCCCTCAATTCCGCCGGAAAGTCAAGTAGCCTTAGCCTGCTATTACAAAATTCAGCATACAGTTTTATCTGATCACTATCTCTGTGACCCCAGATTACCTTATTATCCGCCGTGTACTGAGCTGACTTCACTTGAGGTCGGACTAAGTTGAATTTACAGTAAACTTCCAGAGGATAATGATCAGACCATGTCACATTGGTTTTAACATGTATGCTGTCAATATATTTGCTAGCCATACTAGTTGTAAGGCAATGGTCTAACCAGCGCGAGCAGCCGTGACTATCACTAATATATGTATATACATCAGTATTATTAGATAAAAATTCATAATCAGAACATACCCACGCCTGCTCGCTACAAAACTGAGACAATTCATTAAAAAATAGCTCTCCAGGATGTGCGTTAAAATCGCCTAAGATAAAAACAATATTAATTCCGCAGTCCTCGACAATTGCATTAATTTCACTTAGGCACTCTGTGAACTCGAAAAAGATTATCGGTGCAGTCAGTAGGCATATAAACCGAGAAAATTAGCATAGTATACCCACGAAGCTGGCATTTGATCGCACACAATCTCACACTGTTACATTTCACTACTGACACGGATGAAAACATATTTCTACGCCATAATAGCGCGACGCCTCCGTGTGGACGGCCGCGCAAAATGCCGGCGCTTGTGTCTACAGCCGTTGTACCCGTTGCTTCGAAGTCTTTGTGTACAGTGCCAAGGTATGGAAGGTCAAAATCCATCAGCCAGGTCTCTTGAATAGCGACCACCGACGCTCCCTCGCATAAGCTTCTCACACAATCAACCGACCGCTTCAGGGACTTACAATTGAAACTGACTAACTTCAACGTGTGACATTTATTTTTATCATTAGTTTTGTGTTGGTCCATTAATATTTCGGTCCTTATCTCGATTTACATTTGCCTTTCTTGCATGCCTAAAAAATATATAACGCCTGAAAAATATGCCCTCCGGCCATAATTCTTTATTACTAAATAACGACAGTTTGCTCCTAGGTATCAAAAACTTAAAGGAACTATAGTCCCTAGAAGATTTCATATTTATCTTTTCTGGCACTATTCTTATCTGAGTCTTTTGTTGTATATATTCCGCTACATCATGTTCAGTATTTTCTTTTGAGACATTATATATATACAACGGGATTTGTGTGTCCGCTGCTTTCAATCTCGAAGTCGAGTCTGTCATCGCTGTACCTCTCTCACCTTTGAAACGCGATGTACGTGTTCCTCGACGCCTCACTACACGAACCCACTCACCTTCACTATCATTCTGCAAACCACCTTCATTCAAATCAACCGCCGCCGCCGGTATAACACTGCGCCGTGACGTCACCTCATCGGTTACACGATGCGCGAGCGCTTCATTGTTCACAGTGCCCTGCCTTATAATATCATTTTCGCTCCGGACACTCTCGCTACGCACTCTATTTGGATAGTGCATAGGTGCGACAGGGATAGATGGCTCAGTTAACACCGCCGGTGCATCTCCCAGCATAGACGGTGATTCATGCACTACGCCCGAACTCCGTGACCTCATCGGAGGCGATGTGACATTCTCTAGGCCGGTCATTAACCCCGACTGCCCGCTATTACAATAATAACTTTCATTCATGCAATAACCGCCTCTTTTAGCATTTACATTATAGTATATTCTTTTAACTCAGAGGGAGATACCTTATCCCTAACATTGCATTGCATTTCGCCTTTGCATTGCGTTTTATAATGTTCAAAATCATTTTTCGTGATAAAATCTTCTTGCTTCTCTTGCAAATCTCTTACCTGCTTCTGTATTACAAGTATATCCTTCAGGAGACGTGTAGCGTCGACGTGGTCAAACGAAACCGGCGGCAACTTTTGGAGATCCTTTGCCACAAAAATTGGGATGTGTTCGGGATCAGTACCTTTTAATGCCGAAATTATATCGTCTATGTTTTTCTGCTTGCTGTCCTCCCCTTTCCTTTTTACCAACCGCTGCGGAATGGACTCGAAAAGCAGACATTTCGCTTTAAAGATATCTTAGTCATCAAAATACTGCCGGCAAATTAGAGCCAGGCTCACATTGTTCATTACATCTATTTTGTTTTGCACAAAACTAAGAACCTCATTCACCACTAAATTACAGTTGTTACACTTTAGCGTATTCATTATATCGCAAGAGGTCAGAGACCTCTATCTAACCGCACGCGCTGTCAGCTGGCGACTGATAAATGTTTTTCTGAAAGTTTAGTGCTCATTTAGTGCTAATTTAATGCTGCAAAATCAAATTTCATACCTAAATAGCATGATCAAAAATTTAAAAACTGCAAGCTTTTAAAGTTCTTTCCCCTTAAACGATTCCTGCCTAATGCATCACCAAATAGAAGAATCAATAATTTAGTGCTCATTCAATACTGACGATATATGCAAAAAAAAATCTGGAAATATACATATACAGGATGCTTATTGTTTACCAACTGGCCAAAAGAGGGTGTAACATGTGAATGGATCACACACCTATGGCACTGATATTTTTTTCATTATTATATTATGAAATTGAACTATCAAGAAATACTATTAATTTGAAAATAACTTTCCTTACTAAAAAAAACATAAATTTTGAACTAAATAAAGAAATAAATTAAAAACTATCGAAATGCAAATCATACGAGCTGTATCAATACTTTAAAAGCGGCAATAAAACAATGAACTTGTAACGCATTTGCCACACATGTCATAGGCCTTCTTATTCTAGTTCTTACGCAGGTTCGCCTGCGCTATCATTTCATTTTAGTGACCTGTGATTAGCTACGGCGTGACATCGTATTTTTTATGTTTCCGCCTGTGTACCGGCCGCTCGTTAATTGCTAACGTAAACATGTAGTGTAGTTAGTTTTCTTATATTTAGGTTAGTTATAGCATCGCATTGGTTTCATAACTGTAATGATGTTATAATTGTGTAATAAATAAATAAATAAAGAAATGTACCAATATTTTAACGTCGAGTACCTAGCAGTGGCGATATTTTATGTCTTGTCTGGTAAAAACTTCGACGGTGTGACGAGTCGACATTTATTTTATTTGTTTATTTACACTTTATTGTACTAAAGGTACGAACGGCGGATTTAATGTTATATGGCATTTTCTACCAGCCAACCAGAAAGTTAGTGGGAGATATGTGTACTGCAGTGGGCTAGGATGAAACCTAAAATTGATAAATTTCACATACACATACACCCCCCCACACACACACACACACACATACACACCCACACATATACCACACACATACATACTCGTAGCTCAAACTTAATTAAATATAAAAAAAAAAAAAAAACACAACAAAAAAAAAAAATATAAAAATATATATATATATATATATATATAAGCATCTAATAGATTAAATGTTACAGATTATTTATATATTTATGTGTCAGATGAACCCAAATAATGTTCCTTTATTTTTCTTTTAATAATCCACTCGTTAGGGGATTTTCTTATTGCTAGGGGAAGCGCATTCCAGTGTCTTACAGCTGTAACAGCGAAAGAGTTTGAGAGGAAACCAGTACGGTGAGAGGGAGTATGGAGCACGAGATTGTTACTAGAGCGAAGATTGCAATCATGGGAAGAACCCAGGTATTGAAACTTACATTTCAAATACTCTGGGACCAATGGATCGTTAAGAATAGTAAACAGAGTGCTAAGAATTCTAAGGCTCCTGCGTTTTGGGATATTTAACCATTTAAGTTGAGAGTGATAGAAAGAGACGTGGTCATACTTTAGAAAACCTTAAATGAAACGGATACAGTTGTTGAGAAGCCGATCCAATTTATTGACCAAGTATTTGTCTGCATCTAAGTAACACACATCAGCATAATCAAACATAGGAAGAATAAGCGATTGAATTAGAAGTTTCTTCGTACAAGGCGGTAAGATATTTTTATATCTGTACAATTGTCTCAACGTAGTACAAACTTTACGGCTAACTTCCTCAACATAACTGCGCCAAGTAAGTGAACAATCCAAGGTTAATCCCAAGTCCCTAACATGAGAGCTGTAAGGAATTACCTCGCCATTATATATCAGAGGATCGAACGATGTATGATTAAGTTTACCTAATTGACGTGCGCTGCCTAAGACTATAGCTTGGCATTTGCTTGGATTAACAGCGACCCCGTACCTTCTTGACCAATTAAGAATCCAGTTAAGATCGGAGTTAATTACGATTACAACATGGTAGTAGCATCGGCAGGAGCATGGAGTTGCAAGTCGTCGGCATACATATGGTAAGAAGCACGAAAATTACAAGTAATCATGTAAATAAATATAGAGAAAAGTAAAGGAAAGAGAATTCCACCTTGCGGAACACCAGTGGTTAATTCACCCCAATCGGACACCATACCATCGACCCGAATCGCCTGCTGACGACCACGAAGATAGGAGGAGACCCAATTCCGTGCTCATAAGAAAAAACCTATGTAAGACAAGATGGCGATGAGAATATCATGGTTAACGGTATTAAAGGCGTTAGAAAAATCTATTAAAACTAACACCGTCAACTTTCCAAACTCCATGCCATCACGCACATCCTCTGTTATTTTTAAAAGCGCCGTTGTGGTGCTATGTCCGGGTCAAAATCCTGATTGGTGTTGATTCAGTAAGTTGCTTTTGGTTAAGTGAGTTTGTATCTGTTTGAGCGCTACAGCTTCTAAGACTTTTGATAAAAACGGCAAAATCGAGATGGGCAGGAAGTGGTTGAGAGCACTGGGCATAGAGATTTTTGGAAGAGGGAGAATTTTGTTCTCCCTCTTCCAAAAATCTTCTGCCAGCATGACGGAAACTTCCCAGTAAGCAATGAGCGGTTTATAATGGAGGTTAAAATTGGTACAATATGATCTGAAACACATGATATCATGGTTTTTCCTATGTTGTCATGACCAACTGCCTTTGACTTAAGTTTTTGTAATACTTTTAAAATATCCTTCTCAGTGACAGCAGAAAAAGAGAAAGAATCAGTATACGGGGATGACATGAAAGTAATATCCGAAATAGTTTTCATTTTAATGTGAGATGGGAGACAAGCCGCTGTATAAAAGTGAGCATTGAGATCATTTAATGAGAAAATATCTGATATTACTTGTTTTTTACTTTTACTGAGACCATGAGAGTGAATGAACTTACATGTGTCCGATTGCGATGAATTAATTAGGAAGTCATGAAAATATCGGCGTTTAGCGGACCTCACCACCTGATTGCAGCGATTCCTAGCTTTTTTAAAGGCCTCCCAGTTCTATACAGTACGGCAAGATTTATATGTGACAAAAGCTCTGTTGCGTCTGTTCATTTCCAGGCGTACATCGCTAGTGATCCACGGTACTGATGGACATTTGATTTTAACCTCGCGTTCTGGCGCATGTGTATTGTATATATTCAATAATTTAGAATTAACCTCCATAACCATATCATTAATTGAGTCGGTATTTAACACTGGAGACCAATCAATGGCGGACACATCATTTATTAAGCTATCTCTATTTATTCGAGCATAGCTGCGTAACTTTATTGCATGAGGGATATGTTTAGGTGGTTTTAATGTATATGAGAGAAATAACAAGTCATGGTTCTAAAAACCAGGAGCTGGGAACTGACCATAACTCGCAACTTTATTAGAAGATATAATAATTAAATCGATCCAAGAATCCGCGGTAGAAAAATAAGAGTGAGTAGCTTTAAGGGGGAGAATGGAGAGGTTGACCGAGTTTATGATGGATCGTAACTTTTGAGAATTAGAGGAGTTTTTTAACAGGTCTGTGTTGAAATCACCCATAATGACTTGATGTGTGTACTCAGAGCAGATGTTATCTAGGATAGATTCCAAAGTGGAGAAATAATTAATAGAGGGAGGAGAGTAAACGACTCCAAGAATAGCTTTGTCCCCTTTAAATTAATTTCAAGAAACAGATACTCCATGTCATTAGCCTGTTGATCAAAAGTGGATATTACTTTGAAGGTTATATCACTACATAGGTAAATAGCGACTCCATCTCCACCCCTTAAAATTCTGTCCTGTCGTACCAGTACAAAACCTGGTAGACCATATGAAGTAGAACATAGGTTAGGTTTTAACCAAGTCTCGGACACTAGTATTGCATGGACGAGAGCAGCTGAGAAAGTAGCCAATAGTTCAGTATTATGACATGGAATACTTTGCGCATTAATATGACATATATTAAGATTGGAGTGATTTGTTCACTCCAATAATAAATGTATAAGAAATTTGCTGCCTTAGGGCGACCTGAAAGTTATAATCACCATCATCGGAGTAAAAAGACGAGCTCATATCAAATACTGACACAAAAACTTCATCATTTACCCGTGTTAGATTTACAACTTGCACAATGAGCACTGGAGGAGTTTCCAAATCAAAGGATATGCTCATTAATTTTGCTTTAGTGTTAATGTTTGGGCTGTAATCATTAACGACCACATCATTGGTCCAATATGGATTAAAGGTCGACTGACATAAGTAACGTATCAAGTGATATGTTCCGTCATTGACACAATGTTGGAAAACTGAACTTCCTCTGACCCATCTACAAGGAATATACTTCTAGAACGACGGATGTGCAGCCCATT